GACATCAAAGAAATTCTCTCAGAGTGCCAGTAAAGCCCCAAGAAAGGCCTGGATCCACAAGGACACACAGCACGTCCATGGCCAGGCTCCGAAGCTCTCTGCCAGGCCAGCTGCCTACAATGCCCACCTCCCCCTTTACACCCACCCAGGGCGACAGGCAAGGTCCTCACACACCATGCTCCTGCTTCTCACCTGGCTGCCTTTACCTGGCTGTCCACCTAGAAAGCCCTTCCCACTCCCACCCTCACCCACCCTACCTACCACCGATTTTTTTATTTAATACTAGAGGCCCAGTGCATGAAATTCATGCATGGGGGGTGGGGGTCCCTCAGCCCAGCCTGCACCCTCTCCAATCTGAGACCCCTTGGGGGATGTCCGACTGCCACAGGGATCGGGCCTAAACTGGCAGTCGGGCATCCCTCTCACAATCTGGGACTGCTGGCTCCTAACCACTCTCCTGCCTGCCTGCCTGAGTGCCCCTAACTGCTTCTGCCTGTCAGCCTGATTGCCACCTAACCGCTCCCCTGACAGCCTGACTGACACCTAACTGCTCCTCTGCTGGCCTGATGGCCCCCAACTGCCCTCCCCTGCCAGCCTGATTGCCCACGCAGCGTGGAGCCGTGGGGACCCCCAGGCCTCACTGTGCAGAGCGGCCACTGGGCCCTGCCTCCGCTGTGCGTGGGGCCATCTTGTGGTGGTCATCTTTGTGGCAGCCATCTTGTGACAATGTTGCACACGAGGGCGCAAGGACCACCTAGGCTTTTATTAGTATAGATGAGCTCTCAGATCCTCTTAACAAATTTAGGCATACAACATAAGACTGTTGGCTGAAAGGACAATTTTGTAATTCGGATCTCTGGAGCTTATCCATCTGATTTAACTAAAACTTTATGCCTATTGATAACTCCTCATTCCCCCTCCCAGCCACGGCTCCTGGTAAAACCGTTCCGTCTTTGATTCTGTGGATTTGACTATTTTAGATACCACATATAAGCAGAACCATGTCTTTCTGTGTCTACACTGCCACTCTGCTTTAAAATTGCCCATTTATGAACCCGTCTCCTCTGCTGGACTGTGGGTTCTTCCAGTACAAGGATCTTGGCTTGCTGATCCTTGAACACCCAGTACTTTGCCCACAGTAGCTCTATCAAGACTGAATAAGTGAATGAGAGGCTCACAGATAAATTCCTCCATAGACTAGGCAAGTCCCTGACATGTAAATGAAATCCAGATTGAGCAGAGATGTCAATTTGTCTGAATCTTTACTCCTACCTTCTTCTGTTTGGTGAGTAGAATCCCTTAAGTTTGTCTGGATCCAAGGCCACCCAACTAGACATTACTTTTCCCAGGCAAGTGATTATGCGCAGGTGATTACGTTCTGGACAACGGTTTGTCAGGTCACATCCTCAGAAGAAAGCCGCTTGCCCTCCACACACTGGCACGCAGATGCAATGGTGGGGAGTCAGCTTCCATCGTGCAGATGAGGACACCTTAGCCCATGATAAAGTAATGAGATGGAGGACCCTGGAGAAGAGCTGCCAGCCGCTGGCCCACCCATAGCTGCACTGTTAGGGAGGGGACGTAAATCTCCAACTTCCTTATGTCATTGTTCTGGTGTATGTTCGAATGAATTTTCTGGTTCTTTTCCATATTATCTCTCCAAGATACACTTAATTGTGAGATCATATTTTCCTAGGACCTCATCCCTAATTACTGAGCGTGGGGTAATTGCTACAGCTCAATGGAGCTACATTCTTTAATACTTGCTGGGATCCAACAGAGAGACTATGGGGGCTACTGGCCACCTTCATCCCCAGAGTAGCCTCCTTTGTCCACTCCATTAGGGCTCCATGGAGCAAGAGGAAGATGCCCAATCAGTCAAGAGGGCAGCATGCCTGCCTTTCTGATGAAATCATAACAGGTTTATAGAAGAAAATCTCTAAAAGCTGGGTTTCCAGACAAAGAAGAATTTCAAACTCATCAAGCTGCTCCTGGCTCCAATCACACACACACAAAAAAGTGGGCAATTGTTTCTTCCCCCTTAGAAGGTGTGATGCTCAAAGCAGAGGAGCCAAGGACCTGTCCTTGCAAGGATGTGGAGAGGCTGGATAAATTTTATATGTAAACCATTTCAAGATAAAGCACAATAAAGCTTAATCTCAGCCTTCAATCTCACTAACGTGGCTAATTTTTCCACTGCTATGTCCAATCCTCTATTTCCCAGCCCCCACCAACAGAAGGACAGCAATCCATAAAACATACATCTACTGTCAGAGTTCTTCTGCAGACAAGAACTTCTGCCTTTTTTTTTAATCCTCACCCAAGGATATTTTTCCATTGATTTCTAGAGAGAGTGGAAGAGAGGGAGAGAGAGAGAGAGAGAAACATCCATGTGAGAGAGACACATCAATTGGTTGCCTCCCACAAGTGCCCCTACTGGGGCTGGGGAACCTGCAACTAAGGTACACGTGAGTCGAACCCGAGGTCTGCGGGCCTGAGGTCTGTGGGCCAATGCTCAAACCACTGAGCCAAACCGTCCAGGGTTAAACACTTCTGTAGTATTTCTGTAGCATGGAGTAGCAGGCATGGAGGAATTTTTTTCGCTTGGCCAAAGAGGAAAACACCTATATGGCTGCACAAGAAAGCAGATTTTCCTTTGCCCCAAACCTCCAGCATTAAATTGAGTTCATGCCTATTTTAAACTTTATCAAAATGTACCTGTATATGTCAATCTTTCTCTCCATGATCCTTCTCAGAAAATACATTATAATCAAATCAAAAGTTCAATTAATAATGTCTAATTAAAAACAGATTAAGATACTCACAGATGAAACATCACATTGAGGTTAATGTAAATGTTATTTCAATATGATAATTTCCTTAGAACTTGCTACCAAAATTTTGAACATTAATTATCTCTACTATTGTAAGCTCTGCTTTAAAAAAGTTATTTCTTCTTTGTATCATACTTTACTACAAAACCACAATAGTCATATACAATTATATAATTCTCCTAAATTAGAAAATATATATAATAATTTAGACTATGATGCTTTGAGCATTAGCAATTAACTAGCACATTTTAAACCATAAATAGTCAATATTAAATAAGCAAAACAAGTCAGAAGAGTTATTCTCATCTAAATAAAATTGATTCTCTACAAACCAAGAGCTTTGGAAAACATAAACATATCAATAAATAAATAATTAGCAGACATCCTAAGCTATTTTGACATACCTGGGTAAGATCTGCAGCTTGCTGTAAGATGCTTTTTCTTAACTCTTCTGCTCTTTTTACATGAAAAGAATTACTTTGACTCTGGATGACAAACACAATTCCTTTCAAATCTAGAACCAAAAAAGAAAAAAGTTTTCAGGTATTTATTTTTTGACAACTGAAATGATCTTCAAAACAAGTTTAAACTCTCTGTCCCCATCCCCCACCCCCAACCCCTGCTACAAGATAAGCCTGCAGGAAATAAACTCTTAAAAGGAAAACTCAATTTATATATAATTCTAGTGATAAAATATCTTTTGAAATTAATCTCCAATATTTTCTTTCCCAGAAGTTAGCAAGTAAATAAGCTCACTGTACTGGACCAAGTCTATGGTAACCAACTATGGATTTGTCCTGCCTCTGTCAAAAAGAATGACTGTAAACACAGGAAAGTGTGAAAACGTCTAGAACACTACCTCCCTAGAAGCTGAAAAATCTTGTTTGCAAGTAGCCTTTTAATAACTCACACATAATCCTACACTGTGCTGTTACCTGTTATGGGTTGAATTACGTCCCCAAACTTCTTAGATTGAAGTCCTAACCCCCAGGATCTGAGAATGTGTTATTTGGAACTTGGTCTTTACAGAGATCAAGTTAAAGTGTGGCCTTGATCCAATATATTTGGTGTCCTTATAGAACAGTGGTTCTCAACCTTCTGGCCCTTTAAATACAGTTCCTCATGTTGTGACCCAACCATAAAATTATTTTTGTTGCTACTTAATAACTGTAATGTTGCTACTGTTATGAATCCTAATGTAAATATCTGATATGGCTCTAACTGGTTTGGCTCAGTGGATAGAGCGTCGGCCTGCGGACTGAAGGGTCCCAGGTTCGATTCTGGTAAAGGGCATGTACCTTGGTTTCGGGCACATCCCCAGTAAGGGGTGTGCAGGAGGCAGCTGATTGATGTTTCTCTCTCATCGATGTTTCTAACTCTCTATCCCTCTCCCTTCCTCTCTCTAAAAAATTAATAAAATATATTTTTTAAAATATAAATAAATAAATAAATAAATAAATATCTGATATGCAGGATAGTCTTAGGCGACCCCTATGAAAGGGTTGTTCGACCGGCAAAGGGGTCGCGACCCACAGGTTGAGAACCGCTGTTATAGAACGAGGAACTGTGGACACAGACACAGAGAGGAAAGCTGATGTGAAGACATAAGAAGAAGACGGCCATCTACAAGCCAAGGAGAGAGGCCTTGAAAGACACCAACCTTGCTGACACCTTGATTTTGCACTTCCAGCCTCCAGAACCATGAGACAAAATTCTGTTGTTTGAACCATATAATTGGTGGCACTTCGTTTCTACAGCCATAGCAAAATAACACACTACCTCAAGACTGTTCTGGCTGGCCCTACAAGGTGACATTCAATGGTGACTGCATATGTCCCATGAGTTTACAAATAAATAACTCAGTCACCCCAGCCCTATCTCACAAGCCAGAACTGCGTGTTCTCTCCAGGAAAACAGCCACAGTTCCACAGAAGCAAGCTTTAGCAAAAAACTGTTGCATGTAGCAAAAAAAGCTCACCTATGACAACACGGGCAGAATTTGCCAACCCCCCAAAGACTCACTGGAAGGTGGCTGTCTTTTCTACAAAGGCCAGCAGGGCAGAACCCCTGGAATGACATGCCCACCCGACCAGAAGGACTATCAAAGGCCATCCTGAGCAGACAAGGTGGTTCAGGCCCCACCGTGGAGAAGCACATTGGCCTCCCCCGATTCTGAGCTTGTAATAAAGAAGCAAATAGAAACTGCCGCTGTGTCAGCACCCTGCCACCAGACAGCGGTGCTGGCAGAAGGCAGACTGTCACATAAATTGTAGCCTACAGCCAGGTTTACAGCAAATGAATGTGGGGACCATCCTCCCCTATAATTCCATTCATTTACTCACTCACTCAAATGTTAATACAATAAACAGCTAGCTCCACAGTAAGCCATTTGGTCCTAAAAATAATCCCAACTGCTCTTTGTTTAAAACTCAATACAAAATTTAAAAGGAAATGCTGAACAATCTACTGAATATGACCTCATTGCTCTCTGGTAGGAGTGTACTAGTATATAAATATGAAGAGTCTACATATTGATCTTTACTTTAAGTCAGCTCTTGGCTCTATAAATTGGAGACTGAAGGGCTTACATGCTGTTTTCTATTTCAATTAAAATGTAATTTTCCATCCACTACATCTGAAACATTAACACGAAGCAACATATTAAAAGAGGAGTTATAAGGATTTACGTTTGTAAAGAATTAAGGAAAAACTTCAGAGAAATTTTGCAAAATTTAATAAAGTTGAGGATACACATTCCCAATGACCCAGATTTCTACTGCTGCTCACCACATTGAGAAACTCTCCCTCGTGTGTAAAGGGGTCTATGGTGGGCATGCGCCCAGCAGGATGTGTAAAAGGAAAACACTGGAAGAAACTCACGTATGCACTAACAAGATACACAAATTGGAAAATGATTCAATAATAAAAATTAACTAGTTCTATGGGCATCAACCCAGATGAATACTGTAGATGAACTGTACAGATAGAATACTGAAAAAAGCACAACGGAATAATTGTATAAATCAATGGTTTATAAAAACATAAACATATAAAGTGGATATGTGCTATAGAGTATGCATCTATAAGTACGTATAGCTGATGTGAGTTTAAGGTTACTTGAGAATGATAAACAACATACCTGGATAATGGTTCAAAGGCTTCAGTTGTGTTAGTAATATTTTATTTCTTAAGCTAGGTGATAGATCCATGGATGTTCATTATGTTATTCTTTGTAGCTGTTTGTATGTACAAAATAATTCACAATGAAATTCTTAAGAAAGCAGATCCATGTGTCAAAGGCTAATGCTATGCTCACCACAGTAACCAACTCCCACCACTTCAGCCAGACCAGCAGAGCTCCCACTGGTTTTTAGCTTGTCCAATGCAGAAAAAAGGCTTTGTAAGAAGAAAAATAAAAAATTTCCCCTCATATATTCGGGTCATGTGCTGTGAGCTGTATGTTTTTTTAAATATATTTGTATTGATTTCAGAGAGGAAGGGAAGAGAGATAGAAACATTTATACTAATAAAAGGGTAATATGCTAATTAGACTGGACATCTTCCAGACATCCTTCCAGACGTCCTTCCAGACAAAGCCATGATGGCAGGGGCCGAGGCAGAGGCGGTTAGGGGCGATCAGGCTGGCAGGGGAGAACAGTTAGGGGCAACCAGGCCAGCAGGGGAGGGCAGTTAGGGGTGACCAAGCCAGCAGGGGAGGGCAGTTAGGGGTGACCAGGCTGGCAGGGGAGGGCAGTTAGGGGCAACCAGGCCAGCACGGGGGGCGGGGGGCAACCAGGCAGGCAGAGTGGTTAGGGGCAATCAGGCAGGCTGGCAGGTGAGCGGTTAGGAGCCAGCATCCCGGATTGTAAGTCAGACATCCCACGAGGGGTCCCGGGTTGGAGAGGGTGCAGGCCGGGCTGAGGGACACCTCTCCCATGCATGAATTTCATGCACCAGGCCTCTAGTCAATGACAAGAGAGAATCATGGATCAGCTGCCTTCAGCACACCTCCTACTGGGGATAGAGCTCACAAACCGGGTATATGCCCTGAACAGGAATCAAACTATGACCTCATGGTTCATAGGTTGAAGCTCAACCACTGAGCCACGCTAGCTGGGCTGTATGTTTTTTCTGCTAAGAAGCCATCCCCTTCCTGTTCCATGTGCTTCAACCTTGCATGCTATGTGCACTCATTCAGCAAACATCGCTGAATCTCTACGAAGTGCAAAGATCATGTCAACATGGTCCAGTGTACTATTGATCAACTGCAGACTGGTGTAGCCACTATGGAAAACAGTATGAAGGTTCCTCAAAAAACTAAAAATAGAACTACCATAGGACCCAGGAATTCCACTTCTGGATATTTATCCAAAGAAACCCAAAACACTAATTTGAATAGATTTATACACCCCTATGTTTACTACAGCATTATTTACAATAGCCAAGATATAGAAGCAACTTATGTGTCCATCAGTAGACGAGTGGATGAAGAAAGATGTGGTACAATGGAATATTACTTGGTCATAAATAAGAATGAAATATTACCATTTGCAACAACATGGATGAACCTAGAGGGTATTATGCTAAGTGAAATAAGTCAGTCAGAGAAACACAAATACCATATGATTTCACTCATATGTGGAATCTAAAGAACAAAACAAAATAAAAACACACTTGTAGAAACAGAGGCCAAAGGTATGGTTGCCAGAGGGGAGGCAATGAGAGGGTGGGTTAAAAAAAAGGTGAAGGGAACATAGTAATATTGTGATAGATGATTGCCCGAATTAGTGTGGGGTTCACACTGTAAGGTATATAAATACCAAATCACTATATTGTATACCTGAAAGTAATGTAACTAACATAATATTGTATGCTATCTACACTTAAATTTTAAAAATAAATTTAAAAAATAAAGGAAGTATGCCATTGTAACACAAAAGCAAAAGGGCAAAGCCAGAGCCCGCATGGGGTGCTGTGAGAACACAGCGGAGGGGGAGCCACTGCAAGGAGAGCTTCTGAAGAGGTGTTTCCAGCTTCCCTTAAAAAGCAGCCATTTTCTGCAGGCTTAGGCTCGGGGAGTTCCAGATCAGCAGCAGAGAGAGAAGCACGGTTATCACTGAGCCACAGCAGCCTTATATCGGCAGCATCCCTGAGTGGGTGACAAGGAAGTGTGACAGGCACTTCTGAGGCCAGGATGCAGGAACAAGACAGTGATAAAGTTAGAGAAGGAGGCTGCCTCAGCCAAATCAGATCATAAAGGATTTATAGGCTTCACTCAGAGGACTCCAGATTAATAATTTTCAAACTTGAAACATGCTCAAGAACTGCCTGGGGCCCCAGACAGTAGGACCCAAACCTTCACAGTCCTCCCCTCTCTTCTCTGCATGTCCTTAGGACAGTATTCTCATCTTTTCTTAGGGGAATTTAAGACCCTCACAGTTACGTATGGCTAAGGAATAGGATGCATATGTGGGAGTTACAGATATTAAGGCAAAAAAGGAAAGGTGCTCCCAGTTCCTAAAATCCTGATCATAATGACAGAAAATCATCTCCATGCCATTCAGCCATAGCCCCTTCCAGAAGAGAACCAGGTTAGCACAGATTAATGCTGAAAACAGCCTATGTGCTTAAATCCCCACTGTTCTGTAAATCGGCATCACTAAATATTTTTTTTTATCTTTACTATAGGAAATATTACATATATCCCATTTTTTTCTACCATTGAACCCCGATAGCCCACCCCATCACCCACCCCAAGCCTTCACCAGCCTAATGTCTGTGTCCATGGGTTATGCATATATGCATACAAGTTCTTTGGTTGATCTCTTCCCAACCACACACCCACCACCACCTTCCCTTTGAGATTCAATTGTTGGTGGTCTGTTCCATGCTTCTATGTCTCTGGATCTATTTTGTTCATCAGTTTATTTTGTTCATTAGATTCCACATATGAATGAGATCATGTGATACTTGTCTTTCTCTGACTGGCTTATTTCACTTAGCATAATACTCTCCAGGTCCCTCCATGCTATCTCAAAGGGTAAGAGATACTTCTTTTTTACTGCTGCATAGTATTATGTACCACAGTTTTTTATCCACTCATATACTGATGGGCACTTGGGCTGTTTCCAGATCTTAGCTATTGTAGATTGTGCTGCTATGAACATAGGGGTGCAAACATTCTTTCTGATTGATGTTTTGGGTTACTTTGGATATATTCCTAGAAGTGGGATCACTGGGTCAAATGGAAGTTCCTAATTTAATCTTTTGAGGAAAAAAATTCTTTCTTCCATAGTAGCTGCACCAGTCTGCATTCCCACCAGCAGTATACGAGGGTTCCATTTTCTCCACATCCTTGCCAGCACTTGTCATTTGTTGATTTGTTGATGGTAGCATTCTGACAGGTACGAGGTAATACCTCATTGTCATTTTAAATTGCATCTCTCTAATAAGTGACTTTGAGCACTTTTTCATATGTCTCTTGGCCATCTGTGTGTCCACTTTGGAGAAGTGTTTATTTAGGTCCTTTTCCCATTTTTTAATTGGATTGTTTGTCTTCCTTTTGTTAAGGTGTATGAGTTCCTTATATATTTTGGATATTAATCCTTTATCAGATGTATCATTGCCAAATATATTCTCCCAATCAGTGGGCTCCCTTTTCATTTTGCTGATGGTTTCTTTTGCTGTGCAGCTTTTTATTTTGATGTAGTCCCACTTGTTTATTTTCTCCTTAGTTTCCTTTGCCCTCAGAGATGTATCAAAAGTATTACTACAAGAAATGTCTGAGATTTTGCTGCCTATGGTTTCTTCTAGAATTTTAATGGTTTCACGTTTTACATTTAAGTCTTTTATCTATCCATTGGAGTTTATTCTTGTGTATGTAAGTTGGTGGTCTAGTTTCTTTTTTTTTCTTTTTTCTTTTCTTTTTTTTGCATATACCTGTCCTATTTTCCCAACACCATTTATTGAAGAGACTGTCTTGACTGCATTGTATGCTCCTGCCTCCTTGGGCAAATATTAACTGAGTGTAATGGCGTGGGTCAATTTCTGGGTCTCTGTTCTATTCCATTTATCTATATGTCTGTTCTTGTGCCAGTACCAGGCTATTTTGACTACAGAGGCTTTTAACTGGATATCTGGTAATGTGATCCCTCCAACTTAGTTCTTCTTTGTCAAGAGTGCTGCAGCTACTCAGGGCCTTTCTTGGTTCTCTACAAATTTTTGGAGTATTTGTTCTAGGTAGTATTTGTTAAATAGGCCATTGATAATTTAATAGGGCTTGCATTGAATCTATAGATTGCTTTGGGTAGTATGGACATTTTAACGATGTTGAATCTACCAATCCATGAACACAATATATTCTTCCTTTATCTCTTTTTTCAATGTCCCATAGTTTTCTGAGTACAAGTCATTTATGTCCTTGGTTAAGTTTATTCCTAGGTATCTCAATTTTTGTTTTGTTCCCATGTTAAATGGAATTGCTTTTTGTTGCTATGGTAAGTGAAATTCTCTTTCTGAGAATTCACTATTGGTGTATAAAAATGCCATCAATTTCTGGGTGTTAATTTTGTATCCTGTTACATTGCTGAATTCATTTATTAAATCTAGTAGTTTTTTGGTGGAGTCTTCAGGTTTTTCTACATACAATATCATGTCATCTGCCAATAATGACAGTTTTACTTCTTCCTTTTTGATGTGGATGCCTTTATTTCTTCTTCTTGTCTGATTGCTGTGGCTAGGACTTCCCATACTATCCTATCTAATAAAGAGGGAATATGCTAATTGACCCTCACGCCATTGCAAAGATGGCTGCACCCACAGCCAATAAGGAGGGAGTATGCTAATTGACTGCCCCGCCGACAAAGATGGTGGCGCCCACAGCCAATAAGGAGGGGATATGCTAATTGACTGCCCCACCCTCAAAGATGGCAGCGCCCACAGCCAATAAGGAGGGAATATGCTAATTGACTGCCATGCCCTCAAAGATGGTGGTGCCCAGTCCCCTCAGCCCCCCAGCTGCCCAGGGCCGGCCCAAGGCACAGGCAAGCCTCAGATGTTGGCTGCCCAGCCGCCCAGGGCCAGCACGAGGTGCAGGCAAACCTCGGGTGCCGCCTAGGGCCGACCAAGGCTCAGGTAACCAGGGCCGGCTGAGGCTTGCGCTACCGGCAGTGGCAGCAGCAGAGGTGTGATGGGGGCATCACCTTCCCCT